CCCACCCACACCCACACCCACACCCCACACCCCACACCCATACCCACACACCCACACCCACACACCCACACCCACACCCACCCTAGTTTTTAACAATTTCTTGTCACTGAAGTCAGCTGATCTGCAGTTTCTTTGAATATTGTCATCTAAAATACATGCTTCAATATAGGATGTAATTCCAAAAATAGAGAGAACTAAAAAAAACAAGGTCAGTTCTTTTTTTTTAGCTAAATACAACATTTGCTAAACTCTACTCGAAGTTACAAGTTTTTCTAGTCAACGCTTTCTATAGATATTCTCAGAGAATTGCGATAGATTGACAAAATCTACAGAGATTCTCGAAAAATCAAGCAAAAAACGGATACATTTCCAAGCAATCTATAAGGAGAATTCATCTACGTTGTCTCCAGAAATTGATCACTGGATTTTTCGATAATTTCTGAGGATTTCTACAGGAACAGTTGATTAAGGTTTAATGAATTCAGTTTGTGAACGGAAGAAAATGGCATAAATAAACAATCGTTAAAAATGTGTTTTCTATTAAATTGTTTCAAAGAGTTAAAAATATTCGAATTTTCACCTTTTTACGCGTCTATATAGAAATGCATTTAAACGTTTCGTGCTTCTCACGTTATAACTGTGTGAGATTACAAAAAAAAAAAAGCTCGACCATTAAAGCGTCAAAAAGTCGGACATTTTTCATTGTTTAAACTGGATTGAAAGAGAAAACATATAAAGGTCATTATATAACACATCAATTTTTGACTTTCCTGACTGCTTGAGTTCAGAGAAAAAAATTGTCGACTGAAATCATTCGTCCGTCTGGCCGATTCTATTCTATTCTATTCTTCTATCATATATAAATATGGTCGATTGTGAATTATATATGATATAAGCTACGCATTAGCGTCATTTTGCCATTCGATCTTGTCTGACTATAATCACTCGACTGGTGGGTTTGTCCTTTTGATTTCAGTTCATGAAATATCTTTTTCTCTTTTGATTGTAGATAAAAATAAAAAAAAAACAAACTACACAACTATGGCTACAAACGATGATTACAAAGAACGTCTACAAATATTCAAAAAAAAACAACTTGAAGAGCAAGAAAAAACAGAACAAGAAATCCAACAACTTCGGGATGAAATCGAAAAAATAAAACGTGAAGCTGAAGAAATAGAACTGACCAAGGAGAGCAAATATCAAAATCAAATCGAAAAAATGAAAAGTGAAGCTTGGAATATAAACCAAATCCAAGTAGCAATAGATAAACATAATATCAACAAAAACATACGTGAACTTGACGTGTTAATGGAAATCGAAGAAACAAATGAACGAATCGGAAATGCGAAACTACGTATCAGACAAGGAAAACAAAAAATCTTAGAAAGAGAAAAACAATTAAACCAAATGAAACTTCAAGAAATAAATGAAAGTATCGAAAGAAAACGACAGATGTCAGAAGAGGAAAACGTTTCATCAACTGCAAAACGTCGTTGTGTATTTACATCTCATAATTTTTACGATATCGATGTAATCGATAATTCATATTCGTTCGATATTAATGAAGTATCAGAGTACAATTATTATTTTAATCATAATGTATTAAATTATATTGAACATAATTCAAATCAATTTTTATCATATTCTAAATTAAATGAAAAAGAAATTCGTGAAGAATTTGATCATTTAATTTTTTCATTATTAAATACATTGAAAAATGATACATTACTGAAATATTTAAATACATCTTCTTCATATTATTTAGAAGATAAATTTAATCCTGATTGTACATTTATATATAAAAATATAAATATCAATATTAATAAAGAATCATTTTTACAAGACTTATATTTAATTGAGCAATAAAAAATACAGAATGAGCAATAATCAAATTTAGCGATAAATATATAGAATGAGCAATATATATATAGAATGAGCAATATATATATTGAATAAGCAATATATATATTGAATGAGCAATAATTAGATGGAATGAGCAATAATTCCATGAAATGAGCAATAATTAATTAAAATGAAGCGTAAAATGTATATAAAAGGGCAATAATAACTCGTTTTTTTTTACAACAATAAACGTTTTCTTATCCTCATGAAATTTATATATAACTTTTATACATCACTCAAGCACAACTCATAGCACACTATTTTCTGATTCTTGGGTGTGGGTGTGGGTGTTAAACTACAATGAACCCACACCCACACCCACCCACACCCAAGATCCGAGGTTTTCTATTGTGTCTAATCCCAAAAGTTTTCCAGAGGGTCTTGGGTAATGTCTCTTTTCTTTTTACAGATTGCAACTAAAAAAATTGTTCAGAAAGCCAAAGCGATTTTGATGCTTTGAGAAGGAATTTTTCGGATTTTAAAAGCCTAGATAAAAGGTTGAAAACACTTAGTTAAATTTTGTAGCTGAAAACTCTGAAAACTAAGCATATTATGATGTAAATCCAGTGGTTGAAGTTGTCATTTTTCGAAAAATTTGATAATTGAATAAAGTCTTATACTAAGTCTCGCACGTATTTCTCCAAGGGGGTCTTCTATTATGGAAAGCCTTCTAATATAGGGACCTCCTATCGGAAGAGAAGGGTATGCTGTTTTGAGAAAAAAGAAAATAGTCGTTCGTATAGAGACTGGCATGGCTATCGTGACTCACGGTCACGGTCACGATGGCAACGGTCGTGACCGTAACCGTGACCAAACTGATCGTGACCGTGACGTGACCGTGACCAAAAAATGTTGATCACGCCGATGTCTACCCCACACCCAGACCCTCCCACACCCACATCCACACCCATTTTTCTTTTTTGTTTCTTGTAAATTGTAAATAAAAATAATTCACTTCTATCTTTTTTTGTTGCTCAAATATGAAATTAATATTGTTATATAATAAATTATTTATTGCTCATTTAATGTCAAAATATTGCTCATTTAATATCATAATATTGCTCATTTTATATTATAATATTGCTCAAATAAACATTTTTTATTGCTCAAAAATTATTGCTAAATCATGTTTTTATTATTGCTCATTCTATATTTTTTATTGCTCAAATAAATACAAGCCTTTTTACAAGATTTTGTTGTTTCTATTGGTAATTTAAAATCTCCAAATGTTTCTTTATCAGAAAATTCAATAATTGAAGAAATATTACAATATTTGAAAATTATATTGACAGTTCAAGATCGTAAAATGATACATGGTTTTATTAGTAATTATACACATATCAAATTTTTTCGTGTACAAAAGAACTTTTATTCGAATTCATATGAATATTTTCAAAGTCAAGAATTAGAAATGTTTAACTATTTGTCTGAAACATTATCGTCTATTGATACGTCAACAATAACTGAAAATAAAAGAAAATTAGCTGTTAATAAAGATACATGGAAAATTTTTATAAAGTTTTTAACAATGGATTTTGGCTATTATGATTATGATGGATTACAAATAGAACCTAATGATGATTTACTTGCTGATCGATATATGATAACAAAAAAATTAGGAAATCGTTACAAATCAATGGTTTATTTATTAGAAAAAAATCAAGATAACCATTCAACTGAAGATTCTCAGCATTATGTTATGAAAATATTAAAAACAGATACAGATTCAGAATATTTATTAAATGAAGTTAAAATAACAAAAATATTAAAAAGATTTAATAATTCAAACAAATTTTATTTATTTTTTCAAAATATTATTGATCGACCATCTTCAAGTAAGACATTTGTCTATTGACTTTTTTCTGATTAGATGATCTATTTGAGTTTCCGGAAAGCTTTTTCAGTTTTCACTATTATGTCTCTATCTAGTAGAGATCGAGAGACAAGAGATAGTGGACGGTGTAGTTCGTTTCACTTATATCGACAAAAATACGATATGACTCCTTTCTCTATATACACTAACAAAAACTACAAATATGAACAAATTTAATCTTATTGAAATACATGACATCACTTATATTCACAAGTCATAGATAAATTACTATATCGATTAAAAGTTAATTAAATCTTTTTTCTAAATGTCTGTCTTTTTCTCTATACTAACTCGAAAAAATAATATTTATTTAAAAAAAAATTCTCCTCTACGATGAGAACTTTTTTTGTTTTCAGTAAATTTTCTTCAGGAATGATATAGAAAACAAATTGGATTTTACTTTGGATCGTCGTCTTTTACTTTTTTCATATGATTTCTTATCATCTTTTTCTTTAACAATCAGACACATTTATAATGAAGCCATACATCTATTCTATTTCTCTTTCTATATGTAGAATATTTTTCTCAAGAAAATTCTTTATAAAATTTTATACCTTTAGAATTATCAATTGAAGGTTTTTGTTTATTGAATAGATATTTCTGGTCAGGTATTGGGATATACATAGAAGACAATAAGTATGACGATCTTAGAGTAACAGTATACACATATACAAGGGTACATTGACAATCCTATTTAAATAAGAATATTTGATATACATCAATAGAGTAAGTGTGTACCGTGTAGGTTTAATATGGTAGATATAAACTTATCTGACTAAGGATGTTAGTGTAAGACACTAAAGTTAAGAATATGAGTATGAGAGTTATAACGGAGGAATATGAGTATATATATGTCTAAATCCTTGTGGATATATCTCTAGTCTTGCATATCTATATAGGAAAACATAGGATCAATAGAGAGATAAGTAGACCTTCAAATGACTTACATCGATACCCTCAACATAAGATTAGTGTTGGAGAAAAAAGTGTCAAAAAGTAAAATTAATCTTCTCAATTGGTTTGTAAGTTTAAGTGTGGATTATGAAAAACTTCAAGTTTGAGAGCAATGAATTATCAGTTTTTGATTTCAATGATTTTTCTATAAAAATTCAAACTTATAAGAATATTAAAAATTAGATCGATAAATCTTAAAACATTTAGAGTAAAAACAATCAAATCGTATGAAAATTTGATAGTTAATAAGAAAGATTTATTATTAGGAAAAAATGCATCAAATATGAATCTGACACTAGAAAATTGTAATAAAGAAAAGATTATTAACTCATCGATAGCAGAAGATTTAAA